GGGGACACGGGTTCGAGCCCTGGTCTGGGAAGATCCCACATGCCGCAGAGCAACTAGGCCCGTGAGCCACGACTACTGAGCCTGCGCGTCGGGAGCCTGCGCTCCGCAACAAGAGAGGCCGCGATAGTGAGAGGCCCGCGCACCGCGATGAAGAGTGGCCTCCGCTTGCCACAACTAGAGAAAGCCCTCGCACGGAAACGAAGACCCAATGCAGCCAAAACTAAATAAATATCTTAAAAAAATAATAATAGGAAAAATGAAATTAAAAAAAAAAAAAAAAGCCAGGTAATAAGTGTTGGCAAGGATATAGAGAAATCAGAACCCTCATACATTGTTTGGCGGGAATGTAGAATGATGTAGCCATTTTGGAAATCAGTCTAGAAATTCCTCAAATGATTAAACACAGAGCTACCATATAGCCTATCAATTCCACTCCTAGAGAGAAATGAAAATATATATGTCCACACAGGAACACTGTACAAGAATGTTTATAGCAGCATTATTTATAATAGCTAAAAAATGGAAACAATCCAAATGCCCATCAACAGACAAATGGATAAACAAAAAGTGTGGTATCCATATAATGGAATATTACTTGGCCATAAAAAGGAATGAAGTACTGACACATGCTACAGCATGGATGTATGTTTTTAAATACTTTAAAATACTATTCCAGGAGAAAGAAGCCAGTCCAGAATATGGAAATCTATAGAGACAGAAGGTAGATTAGTGGTTGCTTAGGGCTGGGGGAGTGGGGCATGGGGAATAGGGGAGTGATAGGTAAAGGGTATGGGGTTTCTTTTTAAGATAATGAAAATGTTTTAAAGTTGACTGTGGTGATAGCTGTACATATCTGTGAATATATTAAAAACCATTGAATTGTACACTTTTTAAAATGGGTGAATTTTATTCTATGTGATTTATATTTCACTAAAGGTGTTAAGAAAAAAAAAATAGAGAGAAAGCCTGCTGTGAGAGTCCCCAGTTCCAAAATACTAAGTCTCTTTAAAGCCTCATGGGCAGCCTTGGGTTCAAAGCAGAGGGAAGGTAGCTTCATTACTAATCCCCCCAGGAATGCTAACTCACTTAGAGAGCTGAGCAGAAGGAAGAGGACTGCCAGGGTGAGGCAGTAGGGGTCCCTGGATGCAACCTGCTCAAGTCTGCTCTGCTCAGCTCCCCTCCCCACAGTTAGTTTTCAAGCATTCAGTACAGGTAGGTCAAGTGAGCTAGCTACAACACATGAAGCCAGAAGTGTGGTGAGCCCAGTTTACTCAAAAAAAAAAAAAAAAAAACTTTTCATATCTTACCTTGGCAAACATTGAATTGAGTTGCTTTCCAGAGCCATAGTAACCACCCTGGGAGAGAAAGAGCTTCACTTGTTCTTTCACCTGTTCCTCGTCCAAATGCCAACAGTTCTCATCATCAATGCTGGCCCCAGCTGTGGGGTCAGGGGCACCTGTGAGGAATGGAAATGATGAAATGAATCCCTTGAGTTCCTACCCTACACATTCAGCAGG